AGGATAGTCTTAGGAGAGAATCACAAAGGTGCAATACCTAAGCACCTCTGTATGTTTACACAGAATAATATACAAACTGAAATGAATTCTTTTTTTTTTTTACTGAAAATGTGATGAGCTGGGGGGTTATAGTTACATAGGTAAGATAAGTATATTTGTTTTTAATCATTATTACCCCACCCTCTTTACCTCCCACTTACCCCTCCTTCTCCCCACCAAGTAGTAATGTTCATATCCCACAGAGTGTCAAGTGAGTATCAGTGTTGCTGTGGTTCATCCGTTGTTCTGCTGTTTATGAGATTTCCTTTCCCTTTCACATATTGCCTATTATGCAAAGCACAAGGTACAAAACACTAATAGAAATGAAGAAAGACAAAACCAATAGAGAAAAGTGAACAAACTATATACAGAGTCTAATGAGAACCTCTTGTTTTCATAAGTTGGAGTACATGTTAATATGCTTCATTATATATAACCCTTTGCACTCAGCACTTGGGTTGTTGAGATCTCCTGTTAAGAATATCATATACAGGGGCTGGGAAGGTGGCTCAGTGGTAGAGCTCTTGCCTGGCATGCCTGAGGCCCTGGATTCGATTCCTCAGCACCACATAAGCAAAAAGAAAGAAGCCGGAAGTGCCGCTGTGGCTCAAGTGGTAGAGCGCTAGCCTTGAGCTGAAGAGCTGAGGGACAGCACCCAGGCCCAGAGCTCAGGCCCACAACCAGACCCCCCACTCCCCCCCCCCAAAAAAAAGAATATCATATACAGCCAGGTGCTGGTGGCTCACTCCTGTAATCCTAGCTACTCAGGAGGCTGAGATCTGAGGATCACAATTCAAAGCCAGCCCAAGCAGGAAAGTCCGTGAGATTCTTATACCCAATAAACCACTAGAAAACTGGAAGTGTTGCTGTGGCTCAAACAGTAGAGCACTCACCTTGAGCTGAAGAGCTCACAGACAGTACCCAAGCCCAGAGTTCAAGCCCCATGACTGACCAAAAAAAAAAAGAATATCATATACATATTCTAGTTCTTACAAATGAGGGAAATCATGCAACCTGTTTTTCTTTCAGTCTGGCTTTCTTCACTTAATATAATTTTTTCCAAGTCTTTCCATTTCCTTATCAATGGAACTAGAATATGTTGGTTTCATATCTTGGCTATGGTAAATAATGCTGCGATGAACATCGTTGTACTGATGGCTTTGTTTGTGTGGCCCTGTTTGTGGTCATTTGCATAAATTCCCAGAAGTGGGATTGCTGGGTTCTAGGGGAGCACTATGTATAGTCTTCTGAAGAACTTCCACATTGCTTTCCAGAGTTGTTGAACAAGTTTGCATTCCCAACAACAGGGTTAGTAGCATTCCCCTTTGGTCACACCCCCCACCAGCATCTGTTAGATTTCTTGATTATAGCCATTCTAACTGGTGAAAAGTGGAATCTCAATGTTGTTTTGATTTGCATTTCTTTTATAGCCAGAGATGTTAGGATGTTTCATGTGTCTCTTGGTCATTTGTATTTCCTCTTCAGAATGGTCTCTTTTAAGGTCTTTAGCCCACTTTTTTAATGGGGTGGTTGTTTCTTTGGTATTTGTTTTGGGGGAATTTAATTTCTTGATCTGTTGGTATATTTTTTATATGAGACCCTTGTCTGTTGTGTAGGTGGTAAAGGTCTTCTCCCAGTCTGTGGAGTTTCAATATATTTTGCTAGCTATGTCCTTTGTCATACAGAAGCTCTGCAGTTTAATGCAGACCCATTCATCCAGCTTTTCTTTGATTTGTTGTGTTTCTGGATCCTTATTAAGAAAATTTCATCCTGGACTGGGAAGATGGCTCAGTGGTAGAGCGCTTGCCTTGCATGCATGAGGCCCTAAGTTCGATTCCTTAGCACCACATAACCAGAAAAAAAAAAAAAGCCGAAGTGGCGCTACGGCTCAAGTGGTAGAGAGCTAGCCTTGCACTGAAGAGCTGAGGGACAGCGCTCAGGCCCAGAGTTCAGGCCCATGACCGGACCCCAAAAAGAAAAAAAAAATTTCATCCTGTGCAAGGAGTCCTAGTGTTTCTCCTATTTCTTCTTGTAGTATTTTCAAGGTATCTGCTTTTACTTAAAGGTCTTGATCTATTTAGAGTTGATTCTGGTGCAGGAATATACAGGGATCTAACTTTAGTTTTCTACACATGTTTAGCCATTTCTGCCATCACCATTTATTGAAGAGGCGGTCTTTCTTCCATCCTATTTTTTGGCTCCCTTGTCAAAGATTAAGTGCCTTATATACAGTGTATTCACATGTATATTTGAAGGAAGTGGGGGAGGGCACAGAACTGGAGGGAAAAAGATGAAAAATGCAGCAGTGGAGCACACTGGACATTGATGAAAGTGAACTAACTATACAACTCATGAGTGGAGATGGGAGGGAGGGAATGGGACAGAATGAGGAAACAGATGACACTGTATGAAAGGATATGTAGTTATTACCTGACTCATGTAAATGTAACCCCTCTGTACATCACCTCTATAATAACAATAAAGTATTTTAAAATAATAATATATAATAACAATATAATACATAATAACAATAATAATAAAGTATAAAAATAACAAAGGTTTTTTTGTAAGTTGTGAGGCTTGAACTCTGCCTAGACACTGTTCTTCAGTGCTGAAGAGCTCAAGGTGAGCTCTTTACCACTTGAGCCACAGCACCACTTCTGGTTTTCTGGCTTTTTAAATATGTTTTTAAAAAAAAAAAAGCCATGCCAGGCACCGATGGCTCACACTTGTAATCCTAGCTACTTAGGAGGCTGAGATCTGAGGATCGCAGTTCAAAGCCAGCCCAGATTGGGCTGGGAAGGTGGCTCAGTGGTAGAGCGCTTGCCTTGCATGCATGAGGCCCTGGGTTCAATTCCTCAGCACCACATGAGCAGAAAAAAAAAGCCGGAAGTGGCACTGTGGCTCAAGTGGTAGAGCGCTAGCCTTGAGGTGAAGAGCTGAGGGACAGCGCTGAGGCTCAGAGTTCAGGCCCTACAAACCAAAAAAAAAAAAAAAAAGCCAGCCCAGACAGGAAAGTCCATGAGATTATTATCTCCAATTAAGCACCAAAAAACTAGAAGCAGCGCTGTGGCTCAAGTGGTAGTGCACTAGCCTTGAGCTGAAGAGTGAAGGGACGGAGCCCAGACCCAGAGTACAGGCCCCATGGCCGACAAAAAGGAAAAAGGAAAAAATACCCCACAATGTACAGGGTTTTGTTTGTTTTTTGGTGAGATGGAGTTTTGCAAATTTTTGCCTGGCTTGTCCTCCAATCACATCCTCCCTATTTCTACCTCTCTAATACTGAGAGTCATGAACTCCATTCTCTTACTGAAACTGACTTTCACTAATCATTCTCCCATGATTTTTCAGTCACAAGTCAGCATTTACTATGCTTACATAAATCTGGCAGCCTTGGTTTTCTGCCTAAAGTTTTTTGTGGTGTTTTTGTTTTGTTTTGTTTTGTTTGGGACCTAGGTGTCATCCCTGAGTTTTTTGCTTAAGGTTAGCACTCTATCACTTGAGCTACAGCTCCAGTTCCAGATTTTTCTTTCATTCTTTTGTTGTTGTTTTGGTCAGTCATGGGGCTTGAACTCAGGGCCTAAGCGCCCTCTCTGAGCTCTTCAGTTCAAGTACTCTACCCCTTGAGCCACAACAATACTGGATGGGTGAAAATGTTGAAAGGAATGACTTTGATAAAGATATATTCTATCCACAAACTGCTTTGTTAATGGCAACTCCTCTGTAAAACTACTTAAGGATAATTTTAAAACAACAAGAAGAGTCTCAGGATTTTCCTGCTTCAAACCATGATCCTCACATTTCAGCCTTCTGAGTAGGTAAAATTACAAGCAGGAGCCACCTGCACCCAGCATTTGCCTAAATTTGTATATGTCAAGAAGACCTTCCCAGGGGCTGGGAAGGTGGCTCAGTGGTAGAGCACTTGCCTTGCATGCCTGAGGCCCTGGGTTCGATTCCTCAGCATCATATAAGCAAAAAGAAAAAAGCCGGAAGTAGTGCTGTGGCTCAAGTGGTAGAGAGCTAGCCTTGAGCTGAAGAGCTGAGGGACAGTGCCTAGGCCCAGAGTTCAGGCCCCACGACTGGACCCAAAAACAAAACAAAACAAAAAACAAGAAGACCTTCCCTTTTTATTTAATTTTACATATAAATCTGCCCCAAATATTCTTAGGTAAATTCAGTGACTAATGCATCATTAGATCATATTTACAAACTAGTCTTCAATAACAAATTATATTTCATTTACACATAAGAGCTAACACAGGGGGTGTAGCTAAGGAGGTGGGGGAAGGGATGGTAGCAGGAAAACAAAGGAGGAGGCAACAATGCTGGATAAGAAATGTACTCATATATGTCTGAGTCATACAGAAAAGGTCAGATAAGGTGATGTTAGGGGAATGAACCCAAGATAAGTATTCAAATGTTTTTTTTTTCTTTCATGCAATTGTTTCTAACATATTTATAAGATGATTTCTATGTTGCTTTGTATGTCCCTCCCCCACGGTATAACCCCTGCTTTCACTGTATTTGATGTTGGTATAATTTGTGGAGGGGAAGGGAAAAAACAAATCGTTTAACTAGGAATACAGGTGGACTCATTGCAACAATGAGATGCACAAGTCGTTATGTCGAAAAACTAACTTTACAACTTGGGTGGGGGTGGGAGGAGAATCAGGTGGGGGGAGGGGGGAGTATGGGAAGGGATGGGAAGGGGAAACAAAGAGGAGGTAACAATGATTGATAAGAAATATACTCGTTATCTTGCCCATGTAATTGTAACTCCTCTGTATGGTATTCTCACAATAAAAAAAAATAGTAAAACATTAAAAAAAAAAAAAAGAAATGTACTCATTACCTTGCTCATGTAACTGTAACCCCTCTGTAGTATCTTCTCAATTAAAAAAAAACTTAATTTAAAAAAAGAATTAACACAAATTTTTCCAATAAATTATTTCACACAAGTATATGCTTATGATTCTATTTAATCGTTTAAACTGTGTTAGAGAAAACATACTTTGAATACATATTTCATTAAATTTAGTTGCATTATAGGGTGAGTTTAATGGGAATTTCTACCATAATCTGTCATAAAAATTTATCAGAAAATCTTTTTCATCTGCTGCCAAGTCTATGTATTATGCCAAAATACAATGTTCAATTATTCACTTAATTATATTACTTTCAGCAAGTTGCTTTTATAAATATTACAGACCCCATCTTAACCTATTTTATAAATATATTTAAAGCATGTTCATGAATTATTTTTCTATTGAAGACATGGAATTCATTTTTTACAATATATTTTCTCTACACAGCGAAACTTCTAAAAGAGAAAAGTATAGAATGTGCAAAAACTCTGGCTCTCCAACAAAAAGAAAATAAAGCATTTAATTATCTCTTATGATTTTTACTTTTTACTTGTCTATTTTTTAATGCTAGAAATAATATTCACATCAGCAAATACCACCAAGCATGATAATTGACTGTTTTTAATATGTAAGAGTTGAGAAGTAAGTACCTAATAAGAATAGCAAAGTATTTCAATTACGTGAGGGAGAGGAATTTTTACATTGTCCAAAAATATCTTGGTTTCAAATTCATTTCATTCTGGATTAAAATGGAGAGACTCTTAAGACAGAGTTTTGCGATCAGCAATGATTGAAATTAGTCAGGGTAGCAGGAATCTGGGGTCAAGGCTGTTTCCACCATTTTAATCTCGCCATTATATGCAAGCGGGACCATAGTTGTATAGCACTTGTTTCTGTCATAAGTGTAACAGGTCTCCAGATAACTGTCTTCATCGCAGTTATTACTCTGGGTAGCAGTAACTACCTGATTATCCAGCTCCACTTCTACAGGATCACATTTTTTACACCTGAAAAACAAAATACATGTATTAGAAACTCCCTATTAAATGTCATCTCAAAATGTGAGTACACATTTCTATATGAAATTAAGTCATTCTTATAGTTCTTACCTATAATTAAAGATGATTCTTTTCAGGCCTAATTAGCTGTACAATACGGAGTTGAATTGTTCATGAGACTTTTCAAATTCAACTTCTGGGATTATAGTTTGACATTGAATTCTGTCATTTCCTAAGAAATGTCTGTATCCTTAAAAGCTAAAATCCATTACAAAACTATTAAGTTTGGCCCTTCTCATATGAATGGCCATAATTCTTTCATTAGGATAAATTTATAGCTGTGTTTTATCTGTGACAAAGTTTTATTAATATATTAAACATAATATTTAACATAGGAATCATTGTATTCAAAGTACAAGTATTTGTAAATGTTCATTCTCCAACATATTTTCAGAAGCATTTTTTTTCTTTTTTCTTTCTTTCTTTTTTTGTTTTTGTCAGTTGTGGGCCTGAACTCTGGGCCTGGGCGCTGTCCCTCAGCTCTTCAGCTCAAGGCTAGCACTCTACCACTTGAGCCACAGCACCACTTCC